ACGTATCCCATGCATATCCCATACAAAGAAAGAAGAAAAAGATGAAAGAAAAGAAAGAAACTAAAATAAGTTGCGCAGTTGATTAAAATTTAAGATGCGAGCTCAGATGACAGAATTGGCTCTTAGAGTTCAAGGTTGAAGTGGCTGGAGACCAATTACAGTTCAGGTGGAATATATGGGGGAGTGTCTTATAACCCCTCTCTTCTTCTGTAAATTTGTTGGTCAAAAGGTCCTGCGGGGGTTCAGTGCGAACACACAATGCTGCCATCATCTGTCCACCCGCAGCCCAGGCCCAGAGTTTTCTTTCTGGGGGTAAAACCACTCCAAGGAATTCCCAAAGGCACACCACTAAAAGTAGATAGGGTAAAGAGATGGAACAGGCGTTGTAATTGCCAGGAGACGCCGTCGCTGTTCTCAAGATGGAACTTGCTTCCTCAGTACTAAATGGCCGAGGCAGCACGAGAACCACCGGAATCCCTAGAGCCAATGGGGTCGTCCAGATCTGTAAGGTCCAGGTGTGGTCTCCCCGGTTCCTCGTCCCCACTGCAGGCAGACAGAGCAGGGAGGTGGGGCAGACGATGAGGCCGCCAAAGAACGTCGCCGCTGCCACCGAGCTGAGGCTCCTCTCCTCGCCGCCGAACAGCTGGTACGGGCGAAACAACACGGAGGCCGCTGGAGCCGCCAGAGTCCACGCGGTCCGCGGTCGCAACGTCCGGACGGTCTGGAGATGGTCCTGGGGGTGGTCCCACAGTCGCAGGGTGTTCTCGTCATGGGCAGGCAAAGTTGGGAGGTGAAATAGGCGATGAAGCCGCCGAAGAACGCCGTCGTTGCTTTTAGGCTGAGATTCCTCTCCTCGCTGCCGAGCGGCCAAACCAGCATGGAAGCCGCTGTAGGCGCTGGAGCTTTTGCGGTCCGGGGTTGTCCCCAAAGTGGTAACCCCTGCCGCTGGCTGATCTTTTCGGGCTCCCTGGATCTCAAGCCTCCCGGACGGGCCTCTCATCTTAATTTTAAAGTTGTTGCTCGCGGGTTTTTTCGGCATTTTCGTCGGATAATTCACAACGAACGGAGCCTCGCAACCATCTTGGTCTCGCACATGCGCATTTATAGGAGTGGGAGATCTGAAGTGGCCTTGGAGGAAGGATGGATGCCGAGAGAGGTAACAGCCCCCCTCCTTTCCCCCCAGTTCTTTCGTAACTTTCCTGGGAAATCCAGGAGGAGGGAGGGAGGGAGGAAGGAAGGAAGGAAGGAAGGATGAATGAGGGAAGAAGGAAGAGGAAGGGAAGGAGAGGGATGAAGGAAGGGAGGAAAGTGAAAGAAAATGAAAGAAGGGAAGGGGGGAGGAAGAAGGAGGTGAGGAAGAAAGCAGGGAAGAAGATACCAGAAGGAAATGAGAGGGGGAAGGGAGGGCAGGAGGAAGAAAGAAGGAAAGAAGAGAGGGAGGGAGGAAAAAGAAAGAAAAAGGAAGAAAAGGGAAGAGAGGAAGGAAGGTGGAAGGCAGGAAAAGGAAAGGGAAGAGGAGAGGGAAGGAAGGGAAGAAGGAAGAAGGAGGGAAGAAGAGATAGGAAGGAAGTAGAGGAAGGAAGGAAGAAAAAGGAAAAAGGGAGGGAGGCAGGGAGGAGGGGGAAGGGAGGAGAAAGAAAAGGGAAGATAGGAAGGAAGGAAGGAAGGAAGGAAGGAGGAAAGGAAGGAGGGAAGAAGAGGAAAGAAAAGCAGGGGAGGAAGGGGTGAGTGAAGGAAGTAGGAGGGAGGAAAGAAGGGAAAGAAGGAGAGTAAGGAAAGGAGGAAGAGATTGAGGAAGGAAAGAAGGAAGGAAAGGGGAAGAGGGAAAGGGAGGAAGGGAAGGAGGGAAAAGGAGAAAAGAAAGTGAGGAAAAAGGGAAGGAAGAGGGAAGAAAAGGGAAGAGGGGAGGGAGGGAAGAGGAGAAAAGAAAGGGAGGGAGGGAGGAAGAAGAAAGAAAAGGGAAGAGGAAAGGGGAAAAGGGAGGGAATGAGAGGAGAAGAAGAGAGAGAAAAGGGAGGGAGTGGGATGCAAGGGCTGAAGCAAGGTAGAGAGACAGAATGGAAGGAAGTAAAGTGGAAGGAAGTAGAAGGAACGAGAGAGAGGGGAAGGAGGCAGTCAGGCCAGAAGGAAGGAGAAAGAGAGGAAGAGGAAGGAAGGAAGGAGGAGGAAAGAAAAGAGAAGTGGGAAATGGAAGGAGGGAGGAAGCAGGAAGGGAATGAGGGAAGAAGACAGGATGGAAAGAAGGAAAGAGAAAAGGAGTAGAAGGAATAAAGGGGAAGGAGGAAAGAAAGAAGGGAGGGAGTGCTGCAATGGATGTCTTCCAATCTCACAGGGGAGGAACTCCGGCTGATCCTGATCGGAAAATCCGGCAGTGGGAAAAGCGCCACGGGCAACACCATTCTCGGACGGAAAGAGTTTGAGTCCACCTTGGCGGCAAAGACCACCACCCTGAAGTGCCAAAGGGGGCAAGGAAGCTGGCAGGGCATGACGGTTTCCGTGGTCGACACGCCAGCCATGTTTGATTCTGACAACTACAATGAGATAGTGCGACGTGAGATCATGGCTTGTCTAGAGCTCTCCAGGCCTGGCCCCCACGCTCTGATTTTTGTAACCCAGGTGGGGCACTTCACCCCAGAAGACGTAGCTGTCATAAAGCATGTCCAGGATGTCTTTGGGGCTGAGTCCACCAGCCACACCATTATCCTGTTCACTTGCCTGGAGAATTTGAGAGGCATTCCACTGGATGAGTACGTCACACAATCCGGGGACAGGAATTTGCAGGACCTGATCCAGCGGTGCGGGAGGCACTTTTGCGGGTTCAACAACAAAGCCTCGGGAGCCGAGCGGGAGAGGCAGGTCCCCAAGCTGATGGAGATGGTGCAGAGAACCATTTGGAAGAACGGCGGGCGATATTACACCAACCAGCTCTACTTGGAGCCCAACGCACAGGACGAGTATGTCCGGATGTTCATCGAGCAAAACCGAAGATGCACGAAAGCATCACCGACCTGCTCTTTCTTCTAGCCCAATTGGACTTTTGGGTTTGTCTTCCTGAGAATTATATTGCTCGCTGTGTATCGCTGGTTTATCCATAAAGTGTTTGAATGACGACCATGTTGCCTCCAAATCCAGATTTTTAATTCTGCTTCCTTTGTTTTGAGAAATAAACAATTGCAGAGCTGCAGAACTGGTGTCCTCTCCACTTCTCTTTTGCCTTTGACTGCTGAAATCTCTCTGTGTGTGGGAGTCTTCCTTGTCCTTCCTGGGGGCCAGTGAGAGACTCGGGTCCTTATCTTTGAAGACCCTGCTCCACCTTCTCGAGGGCAGTAGGATCTTGCCCCATAACCCTCATGTCGTTGCCTTGGCCCCAGTGCAGCTCAGGAGTGCCCCCTTCCCCAGTTGCACTAGTACCAAAGGGGTTTTTCCCTCTTAAGCCAACAGCATCCACAGTGAGTGAAGTCAGTTCTGCTGTCAGAGAGGAGGCAGTCAACCCTTGTGAGTGGCTCCTCTTGGCCTCTGAAGGCTGACACGGATGCCCCCTCCCCAAGTCAGCCATCTGCCCCATCTTTTGCTGAATAGGCCAGCAGTCCCCAATCTTTACGGCTTGGTGTCCCAGTGGGGATGGAGAGAGGGAACGTGGCCCGCACATCAATGCGCACGCCAGCCTGCCATTTGTGCACCTTTTTAGCTTAAGGTCTGGTCATTGGACTACTGCAACACACACTTTACGTGGGGCTACCCCTGCGATTTCTCCGCGGGTCGCCCATGAGGCCAATGATGAAGGAAGACACGGACACGAGTTCCCTCGGGATGAGACGACTCAGAGCAATCTCTGAGGCCTCTTTTATTGAGCATACACAAAGAAAGGGTGGAGTTGTATTGTATTGTATTGTATTTGGTTTATTTGTATGCCGCCCTTCTCCAGGAGGGACTCAGGGCGGCGAACAACTCANACCTGACCCCCCACCCCCCCGTCCTGCCGCTCTCTGTAGTTGTGGGGGCAGCCTTGCCAAAAATTTATCCCGGTTCCCAGACGATCCAAGGAACGCAGTTCTTCCAACGCGGCTCCTGAATCCCAAGCGCAGGAGGGACCAGTGGCGTTTCAGAAAAGGGGTCGTCCCCATTCAGGGGAAGGGGCTTCCACCGGAGTCAGCCCGCGGCGGATCCGCTGGACAACTCCCCCTTGCTGGGGAAAAAGAGAGGCAGCGAGAGCCGGAGCGCCGGGAAGACCTTCACCACCATTCGCAAAGGCGAGCCCGTCTGTCAGGGCCCCCTACGCACCCCTCCTCCCTTCCTGTGGCCCCGCCGCCACCTGCTCTCTAGGACTCACCCAGCAGACGTGAGTGGTGGATCTGGCCCACGATCGCCTGCCGGATCCAGTAGGAAGTTCCTCCGTACAAAGAAGGGACTGGGAAGCAGCTCAACCGTGGAAGGGAGGGGGGAAGGAGCCTCCTCCCGGCCCCTCACCTCCCTTTCCAGAGCTCCGCGGCTTCCTGGCACAGCTGCTTTGCCGGCGCAAGAGCTGCGTCCTAAGGGCTGGACGACCGAGGCATGTTGGGTGGGGGTTTTCTTCCCCGAGGAGGGGGTCCTGGGAACCCGCCGCAGCCCGCCTCCCGGATCCCTCCCAAGCATCCTGCTGCCGCTTTGCAAAGGGGGCTTGCCGTGGGGTCTGGAGATGGGGAGGACAGGGAATTGGGTCTGGGGTCTCTAAAGTAGAGGGTGCTAGAGATGGATTCTGCTTGGCTTTGGGTCTTGCTCCTCCAAAGGACGACCATGTGAAGGGCTTTGGGGGATGCCTACTGCCGAGGGAAGGTGGCTGTGCAGCTGACTAAAGAGAGAACGCAGCCGTGACCTCCTGGGATGGAGAGACCCTCCTCTGGAGCCCCTGACTCAAGCAGGAAGAGAGAGAGAAAAAAACAGCTTTGGGTTTTGCTTTCTCTCAGCAGGGATTTTGAGNATTGTAAGCCGCCCTGAGTCCCCTCAGGGAAAAGGGCGGCCTATAAATGTCAATAAAACAAAAACAAAAACAAATAAAACAAACAAGAGTGGCAGAAACGGTAGAGGAGCCCCTGCTCGAGCAGGGGGTTGGACTAGGTGACCTCCAAGGTCCCTTCCAACTCTGTGAGTCTACATTTTAAAAGTTTTTTTATTTTTCTCCTTCAAATTTATTCACAAATATACATTCTTATATTTGCTATTAACATTTATCTATTCATCATTAATCTTCATCGTTATTTTCTTACAAATATATAGAATACAATTTGGGTCACTTCCTTGCCACCCCATGGCTCCATCTTATTTTGCAAAAACCTTGCTCCTTCCATCTTCTCAACCTCCCTTCTCCACCTTCTTCTTTCCTCCTCTCCTTCCCCCTTTCTTCTTCCCCTCTCTTTCCCCCCTTCCTCCTCTTTTCTCCTCCTCCTTCCCCTCTCTCCTACTCTTAATTCCCCTCCCTTACTTTCTCTGCTTTACCCTTTCTTCCTTTCCCTCCTCACCCTCCCTCCTTTCCGTAATTGCCCCTGCTTATCTACTTACTCTGATGGGTTCCCGGGGTGGCATTTCAGCAATCCCCAACTTTATATTTCCATACAAATAATGTTCTCTGTTACATTTTATTTCTGATAATAATTCCACTTATACCTTTTATTGAACTTGTATACGTGCATTTTAATACTTTCCTATTCCACCCCGCCCCGCCCAATTTAATAATGTGCCGTCTGAGCTATTTGTTTTATTCTTTGTTCCTTTCTCTTTTCTAAAACAGGAGATATCTGTGAGTTTAAATTCTAAGCTCGTCTTCCGAAGTCGCGGGGCGGGCGGGGATGAGGTGGAAGAGGTGGCGTTGGCTGGAAAGGAATTTCCTGAGGAAGGGGGGGGGGCAGCTGCAGCCCCGTCGGACTTTCCCGGAATGCAGCCCCCTCCCCTCCATCCATCCTGGGCCCTTTGCGCACGATCCTCCTCCTCCTCTCCGGCGGAGGGTGATCGCTGGCGGCCCCACCCCGTTTTCTAGCTCCGGAGACGAGGAGAGGCGAACTTCCAAGTTCTGCGCAAACAAACCCGCCAAAGGGACCGAGGCACCTGCAAGCCCATCGCCCTGCAGAGATGAGCAAAGNATCCTCCAGGAGCAGCTGGAGCATCGCACAGACGCTAGTACGCATGCGCGTGCCGCGCGCATGCACGAGGACGCCGCTGGCCTCGTTCCAACCGAACCGGTTGGAACGAGGCGAAAAACCCACCCCTGAATAGCAGTGACTGTGAGGGGGATCTTGCAGTCTTTGTGGACAACCAGCTAAATAGGAGCCAGGCGTGTGAAGCAGCAGCCAAAGAACCAATGCAATCTTATGTTGCATTAACAGAGGGATACAATCAAGATCAAGTGAGGTACTACAGCCACTTTATAAAGCCTTAGTAAGACCACACTTAGAGTACTGCATCCAGTTTTGGACACCACACTATAAAAAAGATGTGGAGACTCTAGAAAGAGTGCAGAGAAGAGCAACCAGGATGATTCGGGGACTGGAGCCCAAAACATATGAAGAACGGTTGCAGGAACTGCACCTGGCTAGTCTAGTAAAGAGACAGGAGAGCAGTCTTCCAATATTTGAGGTGCTGCCACAGAGACGAGGGGCCAAGCTATTTTCCAAAGCACCAGAAGGCCAGGCAAGGAATAATGGATGGAAACTAACCAAGGAGAGAATCAACCTGGAAACAAGGGGGAATTTCCTGACAGTGAGAACAATCCACCACGGAACAGAAGTTGCCTTTGGAAGTTGTGGGAGCTTCATCTCCTGGAAGCTTTCAAGAGACTGGACTGCTATCTGTCATAAATGGTGTAAAGTCTCCTGCTTGGACTGGGGGTTGGACTAGATAATCTACAAATCCAACTTTGTTAATCTGTAAATCTGCAGCAGCAAAACCAAGGCAGCAACTGGGGAGACATTCCCAAGCCTGTTGCACCCTCTGGTGGTGAAGAGAGGAACTGCGCCCATTGCAACTTGCACCCTAAAAAACCTGAAGGACAAAAATATTATTAATGGATATAATATTAAATTTATTAAATATAAATATAATATTAGTAAATGGAAAGCCCCCCGAATCCATTTCAGAACCCCAAAAAAGCTTCAGCAGCGGCCCCACTGTGATTGCTGCCCCAGTCCCTCTCTCTGAGCAGTGGAGTCCTTGCTTAGCCAAACCAGGAACCCCCCTCCCCAAAGTCCACCCTCGCTTCCTCTGCAGCTGCTTTGCAGAGCCCCCCCCCCTGCACCCCCACAGCAAGTTGGAAGGCAGCTGCCTAAAATTAGCAATAGCAATAGCAGTTAGACTTATTATATACCGCTTCATATGGCTTTCAGCCCTCTCTAAGCGGTTTACAGAGTCAGCATATCGCCCCNCATAATGCTCAGAGTCAGCAAGTTGTAACCTCTGCCCTACATAATGCTCAAAGTCAGCAGGTTGTGTTACTGACCTTATGGTATAGTAAATCATTGCTGCTGTTGTATACGTGTTCCAGCATACCTATGCATGCCTGCACTTATGCTACATACCCCTGAAGAGTATCCAGAAGCTCCATGGTGACCATCCACTTTTGACCACGTCCTGGAAATATCCCTGAAAATCACAGTGATTTCGCCCTGCATCCTCCAACTCCCATCCTCTCTGAAGTTCACCCATCACGGAAAGACCCTCTGAAGTCTGAGATGCATTTGTGGACGCCTCCCCTGAGGCCAATTGGAGCGACCAGAGGGATAACCAGGAGAGGATGATGGGGTCGGAAGAATGCCTATTTTGGCAGAGAGGGTGATCAGTGGGATGAAGCGGCTGGCTGCCCCCACACTTTCCCAGTTCCCTCTCCCTTACACAAATACACAGACACGCACATACACATGCATACCAGAGGTGGCATTCAGCAGGTTCTGACCAGTTCTGGAGAACCGATAGTGGAAATTGTGAGTAGTTCAGAGCTCTGACTGGCCCCGCCCCATCTATTCTCTGCTTCCCGAGTCCCAGCTGATTGGAAGGAAATG